AATACGGTGAAACCTGTCTCTACTAAAAAATGTAAAAAATTAGCCGGGCATGGTGGCTCATGCCTGTATTCCCACCTACTTGGGAGGCTGAGGCAGGAGAATAGCTTGAACCTGCGAGGCAAAGGTTGCAGTGAGCTGAGATCGTACCACTGTACTCCAGCCTGGGCGACAGAGAGAAAAAAAAAAAAACAAAAAAAAAAGATGTCTGGTACTTCATGGGGAATAGTATTCATCATTATTATTTTCTTTATGAAGGGACAATACCAGAGGACATAATTTTTTTATCCTTTTTTTTCACCTAACAGCCATCACAAGACATTTCCCCTGTGGCATCGTGGAGTGGCTGTGTCATGACTCCCACTTGCCGCATCTGAGTGGACACTTTGGATGCAGCCATTAGTTTGATGTTATTAAAAATGCCATGATGGGCATGAAGCTTTCATCTTTTGGCTGATTTCCTTAGCATCCCAGGTGGGGATTTGCTGGGGCAAAATGGGTTTCCCACTGGCCCTCCTGGCTTTCTTGATGAAAGCATTCTGGGGAAGGAGGTTTGTGAGGCAAAACACAGCTTGCATGGCCAGGTAGTGCCTGGAAAGGGGGCAAGAAGCAACATGTGCTTCTTCATCTATCCAGGACTTATTGGAGGTCTACTGTGCACCAGGCTGGGGCACCCCTGGCCTGGTGTTAGTTGTGTCCTGATGATTCTCTGTGTGAACTTGGCCTTGTTGTCCCGGACACACAGTCCAGAGAACTTGAGGCATGTGAAAAGAGAGGCCTGTCAGTTTCAGAAGATGGGTGGGTGGGGCAGATCACACCTTGTTGCTTGTGGCTGCCTAAGAATCCCAGCTGGTCAGAACCCTGAGAGCCATATGATGTGGTCTAACCCTCTTGTTGTACAAGTGAGGAAACTGAGGCAGGTCCAGAGATGAGGGACAAACCCGAGGTCACGTGGCAGTCCCAGGACTGGAAGCTGCTCTTTCCACTGCACCATAGTTGCTTCTCTGTTTATTCATTCATTTATTCACTCATTCACGGGCTTGCTACCTCCGTCAGGACCATGTGGCAGGGAGAGCATGGACTCTTTTAGGGCAAATGGTCCTAAGTCTCAGGTTGCCCTTTGTGTGATCTTTGGCAAGTGACTTCACCACTCTGACCCTCTCTGGTTTTTAAATCTATACAGTGAGGGCAGGCGCGGTGGATCACGCCTATAATCCCAGAACTTTGGGAGGCTGAGGTGGGCGGATCACCTGAGGTCAGGAGTTTGAGACCAGCCTGGCTAACATGGTGAAACTCTGTCTCTACTTAAAATACAAAAAGTTAGCCGGGCATGGTGGCAGGTGCCTCTAATCCCAGCTACTTGGGAGGCTGAGGCAGGAGAATCGCTTGAACTCGGGAGGTGGAGATTGCAGTGAGCTGAGATCACACCACTGCATTCCAGCTTGGGGGCGACAGAGCAAGACTCCATCTCAAAAAAAAAAAAGAAAAAAGAAAAAAAAGTTGAGGATAAATTATTATTTGTATTGCCAAAAAATTAAACCTCAGGTGTGGTGGCGGGCACTTGTAATCCCAGCCACTCGGGAGACTGAGACAGGAGAGAATCACTTGAATCTGGGAGGCAGAGGTTGAAATGAGCCGAGATCGCGCCACTGCACTCCAGCCTGGGTGACAGAGCAAGACTCTGTCTCAAACAATAATAATAATAATAACAGTAAATAAATAAATCTATAAAATAAGAATAATAATAATCGAACCCACCTACTTGGCTTTTCATGGGAATAACCTGTCACAGTGCATGCTGGAGGGTGGCATGGGGCCTGGCACGTAGTAAAAGGTACATACATGTCAGCCATTCCTATGACTACATATTACTGATTCTTAATCCCTGCCAGTGTCTGCCATGTGCCAGGGGATATGAAGATAGCATAGACAGGGTCCCTGCCCCCATCCACCTCTCAGGAGTGGGCTTTTTGAAATACCTGGGAGAGAATTCTAGTGAAGCCCTGCCTTAACACGAAGAACAAACCCCACGCAACCCCAGAGCAGACTGGCTTTTAATCAAGTTGTTGAATTTTCATCCACCAGATTCCCAGCGCCTCAGCTCTGGAAAGCAGAGAAGGCAGTTGTGGACGATGGTGTCATTGTTTACAAGCCCACTGTTAGGGGCAACAGCCTGAGAAATAGCAAACAGCCAGCAACCAACCGGGTCCAGCCCTGCCTGAGGTCTTGCAGCCCCGGATGGATGAGCAAATGAGCATCCAGCAAAGCACCCTCCACCCTCGACCCAGGCTCCCTGCTCCAGCTACTGCTCAGAGAGTCAGACGCACAGAGCACAGGCTGCTCACGGGTCACACGCACACAGGCCAGGACAGTGGCAAAGTGGCGGCACAAAGGCTCCGGCTTTCTCCACCCCAATCTGCATGACTCTGGGGAAGTCACTTCCTCCCTCTGAGAGCCTCTGGGAGCTTTCCCCATCCATTTTCTTCATCAGCTATTCCTTAGGCCACCGGGACACAGTCTCTCCCCTACAGATTTCTGCTGGCCGGGAAAGGGAAGGATCCCCCGACCCCAGGGAGAGCATGTCGAGGGTGGTCTGAGAAGCACTGTACTTACTTGCCAGCCCCCAGAAGGGGTGACGGGCTTTCTTTGGGCAGAGAGCCAGGGAAAATGTGCCTTCTTCCTGGGAAGATCCAGCGCTGAGGAGGGAGCTTGGCTTCGCCACTTCACAGGGTCTGGATCTCCCACTTTACTCCAAGATTCTCGTGGATGTGCTTTTAATTGAGCCCAAATTGTGTTAGGCCACCAGAAACTGGGATTGGAGGCCACAGGCCCCTGCAGCCAGGGTGGTCCCAAGGGGTGGGTGGGGCCAGGAGTCAGCCCTCCCTCTCCTGCCAGAGACACTGGGAAGACAAGGCAGATGCAGGACATCTGGAAATGCGCAACTGGACACCCCAGAATCTGCAGAGTGCCCTGAGGCCCTTTGTTTTATGGGGAGGCTTCTGGCGGGTGTTTTCCTCACGCAAAGGGAAGTGAAGGGGCCCTGTCTTTCGGGCCTTTTTCCTTGGAAGGTTCAACACCCCCCCACCCCCAACAGTGGCCTGGATTTCCTAAGCCCCTCCCAAAGTACTGCGTGGACCTCTGGGTACAGCGGCTCTCTGTGTTTGTGCTGTTAGATGGGTGGTTGTACTTGGGTACTGGCTGTGTAGATGAATTTCTTTTTTCTTTTTCTCTTTTTGAGATGGAGTCTTGCTCTGTGGCCCAGGCTGGAGTGCAGTGGCATGATCTCGGCTCACTGCATCCTCCGCCTCTCGGGTTCAAGCAGTTCTTCTGTCTCAGCCTCCCAAGTAGCTGAGATTACAGGAGCGCACCATCACGCCCAGCTAATTTTTAATATTTTTAGTAGAGATGGGCTTTCACCATGTTGGCCAGGCTGGTCTCGAACTCCTGATCTCAAGTGATCCACCTGCCTCGGCCTCCCAAAGTGCTGGGATTACAGGCTTGAGCCACCATGCCGGGCCTTAGATGAATTTCAGTGTGTCTTCCTGAATGCATACAGGCATGTGTGCAGAGATATGGGAGTGGACGCATGTGTGTCTGTGCCCAAGGAAAAATGAAAGTGATCCCATGTTCTCTCACTGACATTCTTTTCGCACCGAGCTCAGCCCCAGCTCCGCGCCCTGCCGCACGTCCCTCATAAGCCGGTACGGGATGCAGCAGGTCAGGAGAGAGACTCTGCAGGTTTCAACTTCCCTGGCCTCGCTTTAATTTGGCTGCTGTTCCCACGCTGCCTACCTCCACCCATCTCCACCCTGAGACCTGGGACCCAGTGGCCCAGGGTACCTGGTGACTTCTCCAACCGATGATGGGGAATAGGTTCTGTGTCTTTCACTTCCTCTTAGTAACTCATTATTATTGCCTGATTCTCATGTGTTCTTTATCCCATTCCCAGACTTACTGACCACGAAACATTTAAAACATTTTACCAACAAGAACTTGTGGGGTTTATTGTCTGCTGAAAGGCAACTGCCAAAAAAGGAAAAAGAAAAAAAAAAAAAAAGGAATGTCTCAAACAACCATTAGGAAAAGGATCAAGATTTGTCTGGTGTGTGTGTTTGCTGTGTCTGATAGAAATGCAACTCGAGGCACACATTTAATTTTAAGTTTTAAATGTTCTAGTAGCCTCCTTGAAGAAATGAAGAGAGACAAGTAAAATTAATTTTAATAATGGATTTTGTTTAACTCAGTATAGCCAAACTATTATCATTTCGACATGTAATCAATATAAAAATTATTGCGATATTCTACCTGCTTTTTTTTTTTTTCATATTCGGCCTCCAGATAGGTTGTGTGTTTTCACCTGCAGACTGGTTGAATTTGGTCTAATGCCATTTTAAGTGCTCAGCCACCATACGTGACTCGTGGCTGTGACATTCAGGAGTAAAGCTTAGCTCTGGAACCTCCTATCAGAAAGAGAAGCCCAGCCATAGCCCATTAGAGAAAGTGAAATTTTTGTTTTATTTTATTAACAGCAAAATATTGGTTGGGTGCAGTGGCTCACACTTGTAATCCCAACCCTTTAGGAGGCTGAGGCAGGAGGATCGCTTGAAACCTGGAGTTTGAGACCAATCTGGGCAACGTTGCAAGACCCCGTCTCTACAAAAAAATAAATTAAAAAGTTAGCGGGGCCGGTGATGCTCACCTGTATAGCCCAGCTACCCGGGAGGCTGAGGCGGGAGGATCGTTTGAGCCCGGGAGTTTGAAGCTGCAGTGAGCTGAGACTGTGTCACTGCACTTCAGTACGGGAGACAGAGCCAGACCCTGTCTCCAAACAGAAACAAAAACAAAAAAACCCAAAAAGCAAAACATTGCCAACCTGACTTTTTGGATCCTCTTCGCAAAACGCAGATTAGTGTCCCCAGAGGCAGCAGAGCTCTGAGTGAAGCAGTCGGGGGTATGCTCTGCCTGCCTTCTGCTCAATAGTCCTTCCCTGTCGTCCCCTGCAGGTCTGGTTCCAGAACGCCCGAGCCAAGTTCAGGCGCAACCTCTTACGGCAGGAAAACACGGGCGTGGACAAGTCGACAGACACGGCGCTGCAGACAGGGACGCCATCGGGCCCGGCCTCGGAGCTCTCCAACGCCTCCCTCAGCCCCTCCAGCACGCCCACCACCCTGACAGACTTGACTAGCCCCACCCTGCCAACTGTGACGTCCGTCTTAACTTCTGTGCCTGGCAACCTGGAGGGCCATGAGCCTCACAGCCCCTCACAAACGACTCTTACCAACCTTTTCTAATGACTCGCACCCTCCCACCCCACAATTTCTTTAAAAAAGAAATTATCTTTAGTTGAATTCCAAGTGTATTTTAAAATAGAGGCTTTGAGCAACTAACTAACCACATTTTAGGATCTCGCCTGGAAACAGAGGAAAAAAAAAACAAGTGTGCACCCAGCTAATGCAGCGGTGTGGACCGAGGAGCAACTTGGAAGATCTACCTGCAACACAACATTTGTGTCACTGTACAGTTTTGTGGACTGAGCGAGGAAAAACAACAAATAATTTAAGTTGGCTAGAGCTTCTGTATTTTCAAAGACTGCCACGTGCCTTAGGAATACTGTTTTATCTCCATACTTTGGATGACTTGTTCATTTTTCTCTCCCTCTTTTTCTCTGTATATTTATGACCAGAGCAAAAATGTAAAAAACAAAAAACAACAAAAAAAAGTTTGTTACTTTGAATAGTCCTAAAAAGAAAAAAAGAAAAAAAAAAAAAAAAAAAAGGAAAAATCAAACCCCCTCCAACGGTCGCTTTGTTGTTTTAGAATTTTAAGGTGGAAGTCTGTTCGAATATCAGAATTTGTAAAATCTAACCAGTAATAAAACCACTTATCGAAACTACTTGGTCCTGCTGCCATTTGGTTGGGTGTGAAATTCACAGGACCTAAGAGTTTTGCCGAAGCCCAGAGATAAATTCTAGGTCTTCACGTCTTCATCACATATTCCTGGGGCTCCTGTCTTATGCCAGGCTTTGGACAGATTACGGAGATGCAGAGACAGAGATCCAGTTCCTGCTCTCAAGGAATCAGAGTGGTGACACAGGACAGACAAAAGATATCTTAACAGGGTGTGATATGTCCTCAAGTGGAGGATATGCAAAGTCTGTCTTTCTTTCTTTCTTTCTTTCTTTCTTTCTTTCTTTCTTTCTTTCTTTCTTTCTTTCTTTCTTTCTTTCTTTCTTTCAAATATTTAATGAGCACACCCTGCCAGATGCTCGTGATGCAGAGGTCGGAGGCTCTTTTCTGCTCCTGGCTGGGCTGGAAGGCATGTCAGGCCATGAGGCAGGCCTCCTGAAAAACCTGCAGCTTTTCCCTATGAGTAGTGAACGCAGTTACCAAAGGGCAGCTTAAGCTCCGGTTTTCCTAATGACACAAAATCTGAAAATCGCCAGAGAGGGCAAAAGCAAATGAATTCTGTTCCTTTCCTAAAATTTCAGGGAACCTCAGAAACCCAGAGAAAAGACACACCCAGAGAGGAGGGAGGGTTGGAGCCAGGCAGTATGAGGTTAGAATTCGTACTATTGAGCTGGGTGAGCTGAAGGAAGTCGTTTCATTTCTTTGGGCGTCAGTTTCCTCAGCTATGAGATGAAGGAATGACCCTTGCGCGGCAGTTGTAGTGGGGGCAAAGGTAAGATGTGTTGAAGGGCCCAGCAGAAGACCTGACATAGAGTAGGGCTCAATGCATTGTAGTAAATGACAGATAGGTGATGTGAGGACTCCGCAGGTGGAGAGCAGGAATGTGTGTATCCAGGCATCCTCTGGCATTGCTGAATGCACCAAGCAGGTGTGGTGTCTGTCCCCCAGACATCTGACACCCCTCATTTCTCACTGTGAGCCCTGCTTCGGAGTACTCTGCTACCAGCTTCATTGGATGTCAGCCGTTACCCACCCAAATGTCCCTGCAATGACTCCACCAACTTGATCATCCAGATGGAAAATCATGGCCACTGTCAGGAGGAAACAGCCAGGCAAGAGTGGCAGAAGCACCATCCAGTCCAGGACTGGAGTCTCTCTCTCCTCCTCCCTCTGCCATCATTGTTGGGACAGGGTGGAGGGAGGGAGTGAGGCAGGAATGGGCTGAGTGTGTCTCAAGCCCAGACTGACTCACTTTCTGAAATGTTTTTTAAAAACCCCAAGTGCATTGCGTGCGCGCGCGCAAGCGCACACATACACACACCCCAACCAAAAAAAACTATTGTTGTTGTTATAATGTCTGGCAAACAGTAGGAGCCCAATAAAATTTTTGTAAACTTTTATGTTGCATATACAGTGTACACACATTTGTAATGAACAGCCTGATTAGTGTCTTTCAAACGAACACACCCATTTAACTACCACCCAAATGAAGGTGTAGGACACTTTCACCACCCAGAAGTCTCCCTCAGGGCCGCTTCCTTCAGTCTCTCCCAAGATAGCTCCTATTTTAAAAAATCTGTTTTTGATCAATACATTTTTCGCTGAATGAATTCAGGAGACTTAGCAAGATTAGCCAACTTACGGCTAGTGGTGGAAGAGCTAAGATTTGAGCCAGGTCTGTGCCCTCAGATCAAAGGCTCTTACCCTCAAGCAGACACATGTTCAGAGTCACTCATCCAAGCAACGGGGTTAAGAACCTCAACTTTTCTACCTGCCAGATGGGGTCATGGAATCTGTCTGCCACTGATGACTCCGCGAGGGAATGCAAGCAGAGGGCCTGGACTGCAGACAGACAGACACCGTGACGCCAGTTACCCCCAGCAACTCATACGGGTGCCCACAGACACACACGCACGCATGCACATTCTTGAGGCATTCATGGATGGATAGACCCACAGGCTAAGGTCCTCACACAAAGCCACACACACACAGATGCTTGCAGACAGACATAAACAGGCCCAGACGCTCACCAATCTACCTAGACAGACACCCAGACCACCCCACACAGGGAGCCCCGCTCATAAACCTGGGTGTACACACATGCAGATACTCACAGGCACCCAGACGCCCCCGCGTAGCCCGCTGTGCCCCTTGCTCAGGCCCCAACAAAGCTGAGTCTGATTCCTATCTTGTCAGTCAGCACTGGCACCCAGTTGGAGAGGGCCCTGGAATGATGCCCGGGGGTCTCCCACCCCTGCATAAGAGCATGTTGAGAAGCCAGGGCTGCTGTTGGGCCAGGGGTGGGGATGCCTTGGAGGGGGCATTGCTCTCCACAGGCTCAGAGACTAAGACACACACAGACTTGGGAAGATAGGAACAGAGACAGGGACAGAGACTGCGAGGCAGAGACAGAAAGGGACAGTGACAGAGATACAAAGGCAGAGAGAGAGAGACATAGGCAGAGAGAGAAGCAGAAAGGCAATAGGGAGGGAGAGAGAGGAAGGGAATAAAACAGCAACACAGATAGTGATGAGGCAGAGACCCACAGGGATGGAGACAGAGACGGAGAGAGTGTCAGAGACACTGGAGAGATGGTGAGACACAGAGAGAAAGATTGAGATTGAGAAGGAAGACTTGGTAAAGGGAGACACTGGGACAGACTCAGAGGCTGAGAGAAACCAAGACTGAGAGACAGCAGGAGAAACAGAGACGGCTCCTGTGAGACTGGGAAGGAGAGATGCTGAGGGAGAGGGAGAGGTGAACTCAAAAGCCAGACAGAGGCAGAGTGCAGTGGCTCACGCCTGTAATCCCAGCGCTTTGGGAGGCTGAGGTAGGCAGATCATGAGGTCAAGAGATAGAGACCACCCTGGCCAACATGGTGAAATCCCATCTCTACTAAAAGTACAAAAATTAGCTAGGCATGGTGACAAGTGCCTATAGTCTCAGCTACTCGGGAGGCTGAGGCAAGAGAATCGCTTGAACCCGGGAGGCAGAGGTTGCAGTGAGCAGAGATCATGCCACTGCACTCCAGCCTGGTGACAGAGCAGGAGTCTCAAAAAAAAGGTCTCAAAAAAAAAAGAAAAAAAAAAATGCCAGACAGATAAATCAGCGGCGACTCAGACTGAGTGACAGCAGGTAAGGGGAGGCAGGTGCTGAGGCTGGTAGGCCAGCTCTGTCCACCATAATGGGAGGGAGGGAGACAGTAGCGTCACCACAGCCACCTGCAGCTCTGGGGACCTATCCAAACCTCCCCACATACTGACTGTAGTGGGGATTGGGGGCCACCGAATCCTCTATAAATATGGAGATATACCTTGTTCTTGAGACCCACACCCAGGCCTGGCATTAGGCAGTCTTCAGGGCCGGGGGTCTCTACCCTAGCCCTACCCCACCCTGCCAAGTCTGCCTTCCTCCAGGGTGGGCAGGTCTGGAGCAGACGGAAGAGAGCTTCGCACTCTTCTCTGCTCTGAAAGAGTTTTGGCAAGGTACTCAGCCACTCTGAATCTCAGTCTCGTCATCTGTAAAATGGGACCAATGGTGTTCACTTGCAGGGTGCTGTGGGGATTCAGTGTAAGCCTGTGTACCTGCTTTATTCATGGTGTGACTAACTCCCAGGGGGGCCACAGTGATGGTGTGAGGCACTATCTCAAAGTTGAAAGAGACTCAAAGGAGGAGATGGGTTGGGTTGGGCTCTTGAATGAACAGAAGGTGATCAGATGGAGAAGTGAGCAAGGGAGGATTCCTGGCTGAGGAGCAGGCCAGATCACAGGCAAGAGGATGTGCCGCAGGCTCAGGAGTGGAGGGCAGCTTCCCAGCTGTGGATGCCCTGGAGAGGTTGGTGAAGCTCGGCTCGAGGAGGACCTTATCTAAGGCTGGGGGATGTGATGAGGCCAGGGGCCTGAAGGTCCAGCAGGGCTCCCCTGCTCTTTCTCGGGTGACAGAACCCCTCTCCTCCCCGTACTTATGCTGGAGTCCCACGTGGCAGCACTGGCTTCCTGGAGAGCAGTGTTTGCTGCTGTGGACTGCATGACCTGCTGGCAAGGATGGACAACTCCAGGCTACACCTGCCAGCCGCTGCCCCAGGGAGGGCCACTGTGGGCTCTTTGGCTCCTGGAGACTCTGTGTGGTGTGACCTCGGCTCACTGCAACCTCTGCCTCCCGGGTTCAAGCAATTGTCCTGTCTCAGCCTCCCCAGTAGCTGGGATTCCAGGCATGCACCACCACACCTGGCTGATTTCTGTATTTTTAGTAGAGATGGAGTTTCACCATTTTGGCTGGGCTGGTCTCGAACTCCTGACCTCAAGTGATCTGCCTGCCTCGGCCTCCCAAAATGTTGGGATCACAGGCGTGAGCTACTGTGCCCGGCCTGCCAGCAGGCCCTTTATACCTTCCTTTTCACCCTGTGTCCCTCCCTCTCTCCTCAACCCAGTGCCGGGCACCCGAGACTGGTGATGTGGAGATGATTTGGCCAACAGCCCTTGCCTCTGGCTCCCAGGCTGTCTGGGAGACAGGTACGATAGCCAGCTACGGTACAGCAGGAAGGAAGCCTGGGAGTTATGGGAGCCCAAGGTTGGAGAGTCTCATTCTGCAAATCGTGGAAGTCCTATCTAACACTCTGCAACTGGTGATGATTTCGTACAGTCATTATCTCATTGAATCCTTGCCTCTGGGAGGCAGGGATGAGCACTTTGTTTCACACGGAAGGAAGCCAAGGAGAAGCCACTTGCCCAGGACGACACAGTTCAGGAGCCACAGAGACATTTCCGTGACAATTCAATTGAATTCAGCCAGCATGAGTCAATCTGTCCCTGGTGCCACGCATGGTGGCTAGGGGTACCTAGGCAATTGCAATCCTTGCTAGGGGCTGGCAGATGCAGACTAGGTGCGAGGACAGCTGGGACTGGGCGTTCAAGAAGTCAAGAAGCCCAGAAGAGGCTGCCAACACAGACTGGGGTTTGGGGGGACTTTTAGAGTTGGAAGAGCAAGCAATTGACCTAGAAGTGTTTGAATCGGGAGGAGGGACGGGGGGAGAGGGGAGAGGGCAGAAGCACATGCTCAGGGTGTGGTATTTTTCCACTAGTGAACAGCACCCTTGTGGACAGGA